TCACATGCCGTGCCCTGCACACATAGGCTGGCTTGTCAGAGGACATCATGCTATGTGATAAATCTACAAATTCCCTCAGCACATGCTTTCTACTGAAGGAAGTACAATAAGATGTTAGCTCGTTTGTCGAAATGCAATATTGTCGTGTGTCCTCTCTTGAAGCACCGTCAAATACTTAGTAAAAGAAATTTGTCCTAAATTTGAATGGTAATTTTGACGAACACGATGAAAAACATTATAAAGTAGGTTTGCGTCATAATTTGTCTCCTGTTTTATTCTTCACATGGTCGTCATAGAATCCAAAAAGGAGCCTTTGAGCCACTAGACTCACTGCCAATATGATTCTGGTCCAGTATTTGTAAGAAGCCATTCCAAGGCCACAGACAATTATCGCCCGTTTCTGCCCGGCATAGAGACGCTTCTTAAAAATTTGCCCTCGTAAAATTCTTTACAGGATTCAGCTTCAATTCAATCAATCATCGAAATAACTCTAGTTATGACTACAGGTTATGCCTCACGGGGGCATTTTATGACCTATCTGGGGTACAATAAACCACTCCATCCTGTATAGGAAACGACCAATCTACGACTTAAGTGACACGGCGGATGCCCTACAATGGTTTCAGAGCTATCTAAGGAGCATGTGATATGCTCCTCTGAATGACGAGAGGTATTCCTGAAAGTCATTTTAGACCTTTGATGGTCTGAATGGGCATATGGACGTGCCCAAGTCTCCACTATTTTTCCTTTTGATCGCAAGATTGATATCGTTTTCTTACCATATATAGACGAAAAAAGATACCTGTCCTTAGATACACCTGGCTCACGGTGGGCGATGGTTTGTAGCAAACAGACTAGCCTTAGCTTGGACATAACACATTTACAGTGCTAAAGTTTTTTAACAAACATTAAAACTTACAATGGCAACAAGAGTTCCGAGGACTCGTACCTTCGCCAAATGACCTTTACGTGTGACGAATTCCGCTGCAGCATCACATCAGGACATCCATACATAGCTTCTCATATCGTTCTGAACGACACAAATAATGACAGTCAGTCACATACATACATGTACAGACACACAAACGCTCACAAAAACATAACCTTCAGGCTGCTTGGCAAAGGTAACAAAGCAAATTTTATAAGCCTTTCCTCCTGCAGTACCAGACAAAATCTACATTATATTTCTATGTTAGTTTGACAAATTGCAGGTACAGGTGCAACAAATCCAACAGCATGGAAAGAAAAAGGGACATAAGTCTTTTTTCGATCATCAGCCAAGATTATCCTCGGCATGACAAGACTTTAAATCTCTCAGTTTATGCACTAACTGATAAGGTTTTCATACATAAAGATACTGAGATATCCGCATAACGATTCATCAAGGGATTGATAGACAGGCTATTGATTTCTCCATGCAGTTTCATAAGATATCAGTAGACTACTGGAGGGGAAACTGAGGTTTGGGCTTCGGTTTCTTTTTGGCGTGTTTTTTTAAATCGATTTTTCTCGGGCTCTCTTTTTTGTACTGGTATCTTTTGCTCTCGCCGTATTGGATACTTGCTGGAAAATTAAATGGATACTGCCTGGCCAATTTGATATTGTATTTTTCAAAAAGTCCTACCGCAATATGCCATCAAATGTACATACAAATCCCTTCAGAATGACGTGAGCAGATTTGTAGATAATGCCAAATACGAACATCAGTATAAAATGCAGAAAATCCAGCCACTGGCTCTATAGAGACCATGTACATGTACTTCGTGTGGGATATGAAATATCTCCCGTGTTATTATGTACTTCTGGAGTATGTGATTGTACCCTGGGGGTGATAGCTATGGTGTAATGATCAGCCCTGCGTGTACTGTGTTATTGTACTGGCGGTGTGGTCACAGGAGGCCATTCTTGAGTCCCCGGAGCGGCATCTATTCTCTATGTGAAGTTCCTGTGTATTGTACATGGTGCTTAAATGAATGTTTCCTGTGTGTGAGTCCTCAAAATGAACACAATAATAACTATTGCTAGCAAATAGTATACTTGGCATGAAGGATGGTAGGATTTTTTCTTTTTGTGCGTGTGCTACCGCCTACCTCAGGTGCTTAGTAATACATGTATACACAATATTGGACGATAGAATCATGATTTACTTGATAACACACAATTCGCTACACACAATATGTTTTATACAGACGTTTAATTATCATTTACATCCCAAGGTTGGATGGAAGGGAAGGATTAGTTCTACAACAAAAGAGTACATTTATATAACTTGACGAGATCACTCCATCCTCCAGTTGTTCGTCTTTGTGCAATTACTCGATGGAGGAGGGGGGGGGGTCTAATTTCCCCATCTATCAACCTGCTCCAGGGTTATCTACATGTTTGCATCGGAATTCTAAATAAAGTGTCCCCGCCGAGATTTGACAAACCGCGCTGCTGAGACATTCATAACAACCACAACCACAGAGCAGCGGGACAGGGCTAAGTAAGGATCGTATCCAGCAGAGATGTGAGAAATGGGCATCATGAACGACCTTCAAGACACCATTCACAATCAATTCTACTGTAGTAGTCTGGCATTAGTTCCGGCTATGTCTCATCAATAAAAATTTACAGTATTCAGTTTAACGTAACCCTTCTGTAAGAGTTGTGTGCCTTCTGTGCATATGACAAATGTACTTTGCTCATTCATAATTGTTTGATATCTGTAATATGTAAATGGTCAAGGCATGTTATCAAACACACAAATCAAGATATGATAAATCGCATTCTCCGTCCATTAAAACGTACCACAATGTAATTATCTATATGCCAACTGCATTCAAGGCATGGTATTTAGTAACCCATCATGACAGGACTGTTTACATCAATGTTATCATAATTATTATGAAATGATTATTCTGTAACCACTCTTAACATGGGTGTAACTTTCCGCCAATGACAGTTTTACGTGCCATCTTACTGCACCCACGACAGTTTTTTTCAAGTGACGAAGATAATTGTCGTTTCCATGGATAAGTCAGATCGTTTTAAAGTAGCGATTTAAGACCTTAACGAGACAGCACTTAATCTTATTTTCTCTCTATCTTAATTCTTTTTTCTTGATTCTAATTTTATATTTCGAGTATAATCGTCATTTCCATGCATTACTCAAATCTTTTTAAAGTAGCGATTTAACACTTAACGAGACAGCACTTAATTTTATTACCTCCTGCTTTGTTGTAATTAATGTTTTAATCGACACAAATCGCGTTCCTGGTGATACGTGACTATGGGCTGGGATTTCATGACATCATTTTCACAGCAGGTAAAACGAATGAACGTCTGGCGTTACTTTTCGTGAAGCACGGTAGATACGGTTAGGCATTAAGCTGGCTCTGTGGCTAACCGCTGGATTTGAAGAAAATAATCTTATGGTGATCCTGCTACTGGGCTCTTAAGACAAAGGGGTAATTTTCATCCACTAGGCATTTCAGAGTTTCGGTAACAGATGTTATGACGCTATATGAAAGCAGGGTTTCCAGGAAAACTCGGTGCGTGCCCCCCCTGTCTCCAATCAGACGTCACATTTTATCCAAAGTATCAATTACTCTTGCTTGGTTAAACCTATGGGAATTTTATATTTCGATTATAATTGTAGTTTACGTCGATCATTCAAATCTTTTTAAGGTTGCGATTTAACAGCACTTAATTCTATTGTCTCCTGCTTTGTTGTAATTAATGTTTTAATCGACGCAAATCGCGTCCCTGCTGATATTGTGACTATGGGCTGGGATTTCATGACATCATTTTCACAGCAGGTAAAACGAATGAACGTCTGGCGTTACTTTTCGTGAAGCACGGTAGATACGGTTAGGCATTAAGCTGGCTCTGTGGCTAACCGCTGGATTTGAAGAAAATAATCTTATGGTGATCCTGCTACTGGGCTCTTAAGACAAAGGGGTAATTTTCATCCACGAGGCATTTCAGAGTTTCAGTAACAGATGTTATGACGCGATATGAAAACAGGGTTTCCAGGAAAACTCGGTGCGTGTCCCCCCAGCCGGATCACAGTAGAGAACCTGCAGATAAACCGTCATTACTGCCGTCTGTTCGGAAGCTCAGCAGTCACCTTCTGTTAAGATTACAATGTTTGAGTTCATCTTTATCCAAACATCAAAGAGCAAACTGTTTTATGGAAAGGGTAGCGCTTACTTGTCTCTTTCTCTGAGATATGATATTTAGCTGACGCATTCGTTGAAAATCCTTATCATTTGTGACCAGGTGGTGTATAAGACTTTTATCCACACCCCCTTGCCATGGGGTAGGCTTTAAGTCGTTTTACAACAGTGGCTGGGTGGGATTATAGCTTGCGGGGCATGGCGTAAGTGTGATGCTTTACTAGAGTTAGGGTGAGCGTAAGCACATACCACAGTAACCACATGCGGTTAGGGATTTGTGAGATTCTTGTTTTGTACGTAACATTCGCTTGTTACGGAACGCCCTTCTGATACAATCACATTTACAAGCGACTGAAGCGTGACTTCCTGTCTGATCACTAAGACTGGAGATGATCAAATAAACCAATAACCCAATTAGACGGCACGGTGCGAGTGATCACGACATGCACTGAAGGGATCGACCAAAGGAGCAGATTGGGTGGACTCATTGGGGCAAAAAAATACTAGTAGATTTCTAAATTAGATTTCTAGAGTACATGATGGAACGTCTGTCTCCAATAAATCGTTCCAAAACTTCTAAGTTCTCTCTCTTAGAATTGGCTAGGCTTTAGAGTGTCCATCGTTCACGAGCGGCAAGAATCAGCCGTGAACTTGGTGTCTGGCCTGTCCGACTGAGATAGACAAATCTCATTACTCCATCATGCCGTAACATCTCCAATCAATTTCTTTTATTACTTCCGTTACTGATGATACATGCGTGTGAAGCTATTGATTTTCGATGTGACAGATCAGTGTTTAATGTGCTGTGGAATCTGTCATTTCACACAGAGAGAAGCGCCAGTGACTGTAGGAGAGACACGGGCTGCAGCTGACCAGAATGTGGTTCTTGCTCCTGGTGGTCGCTGCGTGCTGCTCGCACCTCGTCATCTACTCTTCGGGGGCGCCTAAAATCAGTAAGTTTTTTTGGCATCGACAAACTGTATGTGGATTGTGAGGCAAGTTTAAACTGTTATTTTCAACACAAATAAACTGGATGAATTATTAAGTTAAGCGATTATTCTACAGGGAAAAGTAGAGACAATCCTGATAGTCGCATGATATCCTATAATGATCAAAAGACCACCATATAGTACACTGCAATATAATGCTGCATATAGTTATACTTGGTCTACGTTAACATTTCGATATAGTTTCTGAATTACCTTTACATTGTTGTTAAGTCAACTTTGATACAAGTAAGAACTGGCAAAAATAATGACCTGACTAATTGAAAGCGAAGGTGATTTAAGTACGCAGTCTTCGGTGATGACATTTAAGAAATTGATCACCAGACTGCAAGGACAACCCCACGTTTTCTGGAAGACGCATCACTTAAGTTATCAGCCGAAATAGGCCAGTTTATTCGCATGTTTGTGCGTCTTATTCCTACAAGGATAATTAAGCTAAGAATAGTTACACCATTTATGTCACGGACATGGTTTGGATCAGTCATCTGCTCTTGATAGAGTGTTACATTATTCTTTATTTTTACATCTCCCTACCAACGCTGTCTACTTTCTCAAAAAAGATCGATAACAGAGGGGGGCTAGACTCACTGAAGGGTCCACCTTTAAACTTTTGATTCCCGCGCGTAGACTCTGCATCTGCCGATAAAAAGCCTTTAAAAGGTCTGGGTTCGGGGTCCAAAACCCCGTCTATTTCTCATACCGCTTACTGACAATGGGTGTCCGTCCTAGGCACTTCGTTCGATGTCACCAATTATCCGCTACAGTTCGTTAGTTCTAGCCTTTCGACTCAACCATATATGGAAGTTACACTTGACTTTTTTCCTGGAATTCGTTGTTTTCCATGAATCGCCTTAAGTATCATTCTAATGGTGACTACGGCGGCAGTAGAGGCAATGAAGGTTATGGAGAGTCATACGGCATTCTTGCAGGCCATATGTCACACAAACACATTCGCTTTGAAAAGCCGCGTCTCCGGTCAACGCTGTGGGCTTTGAAGTCCCATCGGTAACCGGATTTATGACTCCGACCCTTGTGTTTGTTGCTGAAGTAATCTGGTTGGAGATAAAAAGGCTCTGGCAGGTGATGGAGATTATCTAACAAGACTAACAGTTCACTCCTGGTTGCCAGTTCGAAGTTTAAGCTCCTTCCGGACTAATTAATGTACATGCCATGTCTCATGCTGTACTTAACAAAGGCAGACTTACATGTGCACATACGCGCTACGAGCTACAAACGAACGGACCAACAAACAAACAAACAAACAAACAAACAAACAAGCCAAGCGTTTGTGTTATGTTGTGGCGGCCGTGGAGAAAAATACATAATGCGTTGATACCATAGCCACATAGGTGTGTTGCGCATAAAGGCGGTTTACCGGTTATGTGAAACAAACAAACAAAACGTGCCGTAACATGCGTACAAACATGCACAAAGCAAAAGCGTGGAAATACAATACAAAAAACTAGAAATATCAATATTGACCAACGTGCTGCTAGCCATCCTTTCATTGGTTGAACTGCTACTTTCATGCGGAGCCAGGAAAATTCTATTTGAAAGGTCATTCAATTTTGTATCAACTGATAGAAAGTTGATAACATTTTCTCCAGTGCGCCATTTAGAAAACAAAATTCATCATACAACGTTTACTGTAAATCTTCATTTGTCATGTCATAACATCATTTCCCAGGAGCGCACTGAGCGTCTTAGTTTATAATTTTTTCCTTGAAGGCATCTTAGTTACGAGTCATTATGACGAGAGAAACATTAGGCAGAATTTTTGGAGCAGCCGTTTGGGGGTCATTAAGAGCTGAATCCATCCGTTATCAGAACTTTATGGCGCCTGAAAGGGAGGAGTGTCGTCCCCGGTTGTGATTAAACCCCGCCCGGTGGAAGTGGCAAGCCTACCTGCGACATTTGATTGAAAGGTTACAGGGAATCAACCGCAAATACGCCAGAACTGCTGGAAGGAATGACAGTTTCTTACAACACCAGCTTTCGGTGAAACTTAGTGGTGATTGAGGCACACTTTAAGTTTTTCGTCGCTAAAGTAAAGAACACACTGTTAGATATTGAATAAAGGGACATGTACTAATTGTACGTGTCTCTACTGTGACATGATTAAGTGATGCTAAAAAAATTATACTAAATGCTTTTTGCAACACATTTGTATCGACAATAAAAAAGCAATAACGACATCAAGTAACAAAGTATTTGTCAAAGTTGTTCGACATGGCAGTTTTTAGTGTTACAGAGATGACAACGAAGAACGTTGAAACTTCTAAACTTTTTGAAAAGATACATCTGAGACTACTTCTCACGGTACAGGGAACGGCGCGGCAATCGTGGTGACATGTCGAGTAAATGTACTTCACAAACGTTAGGGATTTACTAACAACTAGACGTGTAAATGTTTTCTCTCAGCTTTGCGTCGTAGACAATGCTCTGAAGAGATTTCTCGCTATACAAACTAAACAGATCAGACATGTTTGCCCATCCTCCTGCTCCCTGTTTGGCTTACTCTTAAGTTAACGCGGGATTAAGGCGTTATCAGTGACACAACTGGATAATTCCTTTTGTCACGAGGTGAACTTGTTTCTCAGAAGGCCTACAGAAGAGATTTACCCGTTCCCTCGGCGCCTGCTGGCTCATTTGTTCTGGGACGATTCCTGACCCTGACCAGATCCGCCGCGCTTCCGTCATAACGCGCCCTGTTGTTGTTGCAAATTTCACGGCAGAGTGGTTTTCCCTCAGAGGAAAGGATATCTGTCATAAATACAGAAATCATCCTGCTCTGTGCCTGGTCCGTGGGACGGGGAAAACACAGACTGAGAAACGTACGTCAACTAAAGTGAATTACACGACAAAAGTAACTAAACTAAGCTAAGCTAAGCTAACTAAACTAAACCTATAAAAGAGAATGGTCGACCATGAGTTTTCGTTAGTACATGTAGCACAAACCACAAAAGGACAAGGTGGCGTTACACTCACAAGAAAAACTTGTATTATAATGATACACACACGCGTAAAGGCGCAGCCACATTTCCCAAACCGTGGCCCGGCCGGGTAGTCGTATGGAACGAAAATTATAAGACAGCAAAGCCCAAAAAAGTTTAGAAAATTAACCACGAGCACTATTTGTGTATACTCTTAATACAAATTGTTTATTTTTCGTCCACGGAAACAACCCGGCCGGGCCCCTGCATCAATAACACTGGTTTGTAAAGCGCGCCCCTTCCCATTACCCAATTGTTACTCCCTAGTAACTAGTATATACGATATAGGCATATAATATGATGAGAAAAAAATGAAGAGTTAGACTTGTTTATCTGACTATTTTACGGACATGTACATCCGAAGGAGAAATTGATCAGGCCCTGCAGGATACAGCATTAGCTGTCTTTATGGGAGTCCTAAACCAAAGCATTATCCGATCAGCCATGTGGTATATATATATAGATGGTAGCATATGGGCACAGGAAAGCCTATCCAATTTTTCCTAATTTCAACAACACCTGTGCGCTGTTCAGGACCCATCTGTCTCAATGTTAGACCCGGAGCCGTGTCGGACTGATGATGACTAGCCCCGGCTGGTACGTGTGCCGTGTGTATCGGGAGGAACCCGCTAATTGAACGGGTTCGTCCTTAGGGTCACCGGGAATGCCGATATAAATCTTAGTGCCCGACTACGTACGTGTTGTGGTGGTGCGCCAATGATAGGTCAACATCAGTGGAGTTTAGAAATAGGGAAATGCTAAAGAAAAACATGTGACACCAGCGAGGAAAGTGAGTCTGCAGACAGGTTAATGGAGCCAGCAGACATACATGTACCATATTAGATAACCGCATCGAACAGTTCCCTTTCATATGGCATATCCCTGCAAGTTGGGAAAGAAGAATAGGACAAGGACAGGTAGACTAGGAATGCCGCAAAAGGTCAATTGTTCCATGTAGGAACTTTCATATTTGTAGAAAGTCCAGATAAATTCAGTTTATTAATGATAATAACAATACACATTCTGACTTGATTTGGTTAGGCGAGAGAGCAGCTGCAGCAACCCCTCTCTGAATTCCTTCACAATCTTGCTACTGAAACAGGAACAGCGCAGGCTGTCCTAGGTGACATTGGGCACGAAAAAGGACACACAAAAGAATCATCCAACCATTAATCAACTTGACTTTGTCCGGAAAGAAAAGCAAGAAATTGTAAGTGGATCTAAGTATAGAGAACCAGTAAGCCCATGAACAAGCGTCTTACTTCGGAAACCACTCCGAGCTCCGATGTACTAATCTGTGAGAGTGCTCGGAGCCATCAGATGGCAGCTCCACAGATGAGATCCAGACTCAGAGTCTCCTGGCGGGGCTGGTCGGGTCTACCCTGACGTTCTCATCGATTTACTGCTAATCACACAGCAGAGCGGAGACGGGGAACAGCGACTCCACAAGGACACCCAGGCGACACGCTCTCGGAGCCGGGCGGCGCAGCGCAGTCTCTAAACGCGCGTGTTGTTTCCACTTTTATCGGCACGATATGCCTCTGGTCCTCACAGCGGTAGCGGGAGTAGGTCCTCTCGGCGCAAAACTGGTAAAGTTAAGTGTTAGGGTCGAAAGGTGAAGGAAATAGAAAACGTGTTGTTATAGATATTCTTTGAAAGAAAAATCGGGTCTGAAATATCAAACTTCGTCCGTACAATTCCGTGTTAAAATTTACACACACAAATCATATCACCCAATGTGATTTTCACTAAATAAACAGATTTATAGATTGATTTCCATTTTCAAAAAAGTGAAGGAAAGAGAGGACGTGTTGTCATGAATACATGTATCATCCTGATATGATTTACCGGTATGTGCTTTTAAGTTCAACATGGAATTGTACTGACGAAGTCTGATATTACATACTCAAGTTTCTTTTGAAGGATATTTGTGAGGACACGTTCTCTCTTAAGTTTCCATTTTAAATAATATAGATTGATTTCCAACGTTTTGTAAAACCTTAGATGAAGACCCCTGTTTTCCCTGCGGGAACCTGACGGAGTGCGTCCCGCGGAGTCAACACTGCGACAACAGAACGGACTGTAGTAACGGGGCAGATGAAGAGAACTGTCACGGTGAGTATATAGTAGAGGGGATTTATTCCTCAAGCTAACCGACATCTCGCACACGCCATCGTCCCTCAGTAAGACATCTGGTGCCGCATAGTTGAAGTTTAGAACTTTTATTCAGACTGTTACACAACCGGTTTCGCCTGTGGCGAGATTTAACCTCACCTTTCCTTCTGTGTGGACGTGGTCAAGAATAAAAAAGAATGCTTTCAACACAAAACACACACACACACACACACACACACACACACACACACACACACACACACACACACACACACACACACACACACACACACACACACACAACAACAAAC